ATATAAACAGAACAAAAACAAATAAATAAAAAGTTTTTTTTTTTTCTTTTCTTTTCTTTTTTTTTTTTTTATAAATATTATTAAATAGTTTTGATGAGGATAATGATGATGAAGAATGGAAGTGTAACAAACACAAATATGATATATTTTGAATGAAAAGGACACACAAATGCACACATTTTGATGCTAAAGAAAATGTAGAGGTCTAGATTCCTCGATTCTCACACAAGTGGAGACGTGCTTAATCCAACAAACAACTAATAATGATTTCGTCACCACAGACGTGTCACTTCAAATTTAACTGTAACCGAAACCGAGCCCATGGGACTGTCTCAGTCCCTCAGCGGAGAGAAACAGAGCGTGCAAAATAAATGTGTGTGAAATATGTTGTGTCTTTTAAGAATCCTAAAAACATTTTTTTTAGAAAAGAGATTTATGTTTTGGTCTACACTCAGTTACGTAGATACACATAAATATATTCTACATAAAAGTCAGAACACACAACTAAACGTGTGTATATTTCGGACAAATTCAAGCCAGTTTAGTTTATTTGTATGGCACTTTTTACAATACAAAGGAGCATTAAGCAGCATCAGCTTTAAAATTTCTGTAGCCAAAAAAGCTCTCAAACAGACAAGCATAAACACACACACACAGAGAGAGAGCGAGCGAGAGAGAGAGAAACACACTCACTTCCCTTTTGTGAAAAATGCAAATAAAGCCAACGACTGACTAATAATATCACCCACCTGCATATACCACTATCTCATCTGATCCTCTCTATCTATCTCCCCCTCAACACTCACACTTCATCCTTCATTTCTCACTTATTCACCATTCCTTTCATCAAAACTTCATTCTTGCCAACTACACGAAACAATGAGGTCTTACCAGATACCAGATAGCCACCAAAAAGCTGAAGAATTACCGACTTCCTCAGACAATCAAATCCAGGGTCCACTGACAGTGATTGGTGAAAGGAAGTAAAAAGGGAGGAAAGCCCCTCTGGAGGCCCGTCAGCAAACAGGCTATATCTATGAGGGTTTCCACAGAATAGCCTGCTGGTAAAATAGTGCTCTGATAGCTCAGGCTGAAAGTTTGAGAATATTTTCAGATTGTGTCACACACAAGTTCTGACTATTTTGAATATGGTGTCATAATTCATCTGAATAAAATAAGCTGACTAGAGGTCTTCAGAGAAGCATGGTTGATTTGAAGCAAAAAAGTGTTTTTAATCAGGGTTTATTTTATGTGGATCATCACAAACCTATCTGACACCTTGCAGTCTATGATAACTCATTTGATATACATCCACCACAGTTTCGCATTATCAAATCTAGAATATAAGGTTTGTTTTATATGAAGTGAATGTGCAGTTCATCATTCATATGAAGTTAATATGAAAGAGTGCCTGATGGTTTTGGTGTTAATGTCTCACTTCCCTCTTTGTTTCCCCTCAGGCTGGGGCATACACAAAGTGTTAAACCAAACCCTTCGGGCCAGCTATTATTAATACACACATTCACATGCACACACACACACACATGCGCACATGCTTAAATGTAAGTGCTGCTATATAATATAAAGTCCTTATACAGTAGCTGACACACACAGTTCTGTTTCTTATTTATTTTGAACTTCTCTATTTCATAACTTCTGTATTACAAAGATCTCTATTCTTTTTTTTTTAAATCTGAAATAAATATGCTTACACCGCCTGCATATACTGGAAATTATTTCCAAGCTAGATTATTGTAATGCAATATTAATTGACAATAATAATACTCCACATTTCAGAGGGAGAAAGAGACTTTCTGCACACCTTCAGCAATACATGTTTCGTCTCTTATTTCTATGTTAACCTCATATTCACTAATTTTGCCTTATTTTCCATTTGGCAGTTCCATGCAACCTCTTTTATAAGTGGCTAACATTTAGCAAATACATTTTTCCTCTGAGCTGAACCCATGATTGATGTCCTTCTACCACCACGTTATACTACTGTTGAGTCTTTATTAATCTTCAGGATCCCTGAATGTGCCTGTTATCTAGCAGAGGCTCATTTTCAGTCACCAGTCACATATTTTTACTTTTTGATGCCACATGTAAAGATGAAGAGCTTTCTTTTAACAAGAATCAGGGCAATCTCAGATCTCAATCTCCATCACAGCATGAATTAACCTCTCAATTTGCTCAGCTCAATTAGTTTGTATTTAACCGCGTATTCATAATCTAAAGGTGTCTGGGTTCCAATAGACTTATTTTTCTGACTGCCAATAACTAGGGATATAATGATTCACTCAACTCACGATGCGATTTAAGACAAATTATAAATGAAAAGATGTCCTTTTATTATTGCTTGGACAAAATGCTGAACATTTCTTTGTGAAATTGAAATATGAAATTTTAAAACAAACCCAAATCAAATAAATAAATAACACAAATAAAAGAAATCTCTTCATATAAACAAACTAAAGCTTTGCCTGTGCTTTTTCCATGAAGATAAAAAGAAAATATCATCTAAACTCTTCTAAAGACAATCGTTTCCGCTTAAAGATGCATTAATATAAACTCCTACCCCCAACTGAATCGCGATTCATTTAATATCTCAACCGATTTGAATCGTCACATATTTGTATCGATTTTCAACCGGCTACATCCCTTCCGATTACTAACCTCTCTCCCATTTTACAATGTTTGAAAGGTCAGATAATGTCAGTTATGATAATGCAAGTTGTCTTTAGGAGCATTATAGCTGGTTTCTACCTGCTAGAATCTTCACAGTAAGTGAACGCAACACTCCTCAAGGAAGCATTCTTACTGCTTCGCATAGCAAACACACACTATACTAACAGAGTGCACTATACACATACTAATGTTCATTATTAAAGGCAAGAGTTCCTGTACTGTGATCTGTCTGACAGAGTTGCAGTTGGGAGCTGGGGAAGGGGAAACCCCATGAAGAACTTCACACTGGTTTTCCCAGAGGGTCCCTTATACACTTCCAGTCAATAAATGTAATTTCATAACCTCCTCAAGACTAAAAAGTGCTTATTTGCCTGATGAACCAGCAAAAAATTTAGACATACACAACGGTAGTGTATTAACCAGAAGATTTTTTGCACACAATACCACAAACTGATGTTGTTGTTAACCACTTAAAAGTCAAATAAGCTGAGCTCTCTGAATTTAGGAAGAGAAAAACACAGGTTTTGGTTTTTAGTTTTAAAATACTGTAATTAATGATTGTGCCTTTGAAATTAATGTAGAGAAATTTTTTTTCATTATTCTGAGGATTTCAAAACAGAAATCACAAGACCACCAGTTCATGCAGTGCTTAGTAAAAAAACAGATCATTGAAGAGTTCTCACATTTTCCTAAATTACAAATCCTACATTGAGAACATGAGATTGCCAAGAAAAAATGCCCCCTAAATCTCACATCCTCACTGTGGCAGCAAGAGTCTTGTGAGAAAAGCCACAGAGGTCAGTAGGTGAGATTGCAAGAATTAAGCCATTACTCAAAAAAAAAAAAAAAAAAAAAT